AGCCTTTGCAGGCTATTTGGCCTCTGCAGCAGCTCCTCAGCTCTGCCGTTGCAACGTAAAATCGGCCACAGACGGTGCATCTACAAATGGGTGTGGCTATGTGCCAATAAAACTTTATTTACAAAAACAGGCAGTATGCGGGATTCGGCATTTGTCTGGCATCACTTCCAATCTGTATTGCTTGGGGCAACCTGCTCAACTTCTCTGTAATCTCAGTTTTCTCATCTAAAAGATGAGGAGGAGGATAGTCATACCGAGTTTAGAGGGTTATTTTGAGGAGTAACTGGATGTTGCATATAAAACACTTGTTTCTGTTATTGCTGATGTGGGAGAGGGATTTGGGGAAGGGGAGAGCAATTCCTTCTGGGCTTAAGCCTCACGTTCTGACCTACCAGCTGAGTGATCTTAGCGTGTTACTTAACATCTCCGGGTCTCAGACCCCTTCTTCATAAGGTGGAGGATACTAGAGCACAAATCTGACAGGATAGTTAGAAAGATTAAATGAATTAAATGCGTGCAAAGGGTTTAGAACAGTGCCTGGCACACGGTGAGCACTTTAACGGTGCCTGCTTTATTATTATTGTTGTTATTGCAAAATCAAGATTTGAGCCCAAGTGTGCCTGGCTTCTAACCACAGGCTCTTTGCCACCACACGTTCCTACAGTACCTCCTCGCTGTGTTATGCTACTGGGCCCCTTACCAGAATACCGTTTTTAAAAGCATAAAATAAAAACATAAAAAATGACAGAGAAAAAATTATATAGAAATTCAGTTATCAAAATATGTTCTTTAAAAAACAGTTTTTGATGTAGTTATATACGTACTTCTGGGTTACCACATGAAATAATATGCTCTGTCAGGAGGTCTAATGACTACTCTAATGTTGAAATCATGATAAACGTCCAGGATATTTCAGTATCTCTGCAACAACTGTAGTGTGATATGATATTGGTGATTTGTACTGTTGCTGAAGTCATGGGTCCCGTGATTTGATACCTGCATTTCTAATTGAAGAAATGCTACATTTCACGTAAATGTTGGTGAAAATAATTTTTATTTATTTATTTATTTATTTATTTTTATTCTTATGTTAATCCCCATACATTACATCATTAGTTTTAGATGAAGTGTTCCACGATTCATTGTTTGTGCAGAACACCCAGTGCTCCATGCAGAACGTGCCCTCCTCAATACCCATCACCAGGCCAACCCATCCTCCCACGCCCCTCCCCTCTAGAACCCTCAGTTTGTTTTTCAGAGTCCATCGTCTCTCATGGTTCGTCTACCCCTCCGATTTCCCCCCATTCATTCTTCCCCTCCTGCTACATTCTTCTTCTTCTTCTTTTTTTTTTTTCTTAACATATATTGCATTATTTGTTTCAGAGGTACAGATCTGAGATTCAACAGTCTTGCACAATTCACAGCGCTTACCAGAGCACATACCCTCCCCAGTGTCTATCACCCATTCACCCCATCCCCCCCACCCCACCCCCCACTCCAACAACACTCAGTTTGTTTCCTGCGATTAAGAATTCCTCATATCAGTGAGATCATATGATACATGTCTTTCTCTGTTTGACTTATTTCACTCAACATAATACCCTCCAGTTCCATCCACGTCATTGCAAATGGCAAGATCTCATTCCTTTTGATGGCTGCATAATATTCCATTGTATATATATACCACATCTTCTTTATCCATTCATCTGTCGATGGACATCTTGGCTCTTTCCACAGTTTGGCTATTGTGGACATTGCTGCTATAAACATCGGGGTGCACATACCCTTTCGGATCCCTACTTTTGTATCTTTGGGGTAAATACCCAGTAGTGCAATTGCTGGATCATATGGTAGCTCTATTTGGTGGAAATAATTTTTAAAAAAATTCACATTCACGAAATGCCTGAACTCATAGATCACTTGGGGTCCGCAGGCCCCCAGGGCAAGAACCCCTGTGCCTCCTGCCATTAAAGGAGCCATTTTAAAGAAATAATAAATCTAATGAACAGTAGTTCTTACGGAGGTGAATGGTCCCTGCAGCTTGGTCTTACAGCACACACACACAGCCATTGGGTTTGGCAGAACGGATGTCCACAAAGAGAGCAATGTTTCCCATGCCTGTGCAGTCATGGAGCATTCATTCACTGGTGTGTGAGCGAGACATCGGAAACTGTGTTGCCCCATAATTTGATGCCCTGTGTGGAAAAAGATTGTCATTAAGACTGAGCCAGCAAGAGGTAATGGAAACATGATATCACTGACCTCATCCAAAAAAAATAGCTATTGTCACAGGACAGAGATGCTGAATATTTGTAGGTTTGGGGAGAAATATATTTGTTAGTGAAATGGAGCTTACTGTGGGGTGAGTAAAGGTGAATTATTTGTCAGACGACTGGAGGAGGTTTATGCAATATAGTATTATTGAGCGGGGCTATTAACAGAGTGAATTGCTACTGTGACATGCCATTAAATTGTTTTTAGTGTCCACAGAGGTATCATTCAGGAGCTGGCAGGGTTAGTAACAGAGTTGTATTTTTGGTGGACAGCAGCAGATCTCGAAACAAAATAGTGTATTTTATAGAAAAGTAAAATATGGCCAAAGCCGAAGTCCACAGACAATGGAGTCTGGGGTAGTCATTTGCAGCTACTTGACAAGAACCCCAAGAATTGAACAAGGCTCTCTGAGTCCCTGCTGTATATGTAGTTGAAGCTGAAATCTGAGTGATGCATCAGGAAGGAACAGTGAAAAAGTGAGATGAAGAGAGAAATCTGAACCCTAGGCTCTTTCAAGGATGTTCTGTCTTGTTCATGAATGTATCCCCAGTGTTTAGCAAAGAGGTTGGCTCAATAATTACTTGCTGAAAAAGAAGGAGGGGGGAGATCATGAGGGGGAGAGGCAGGCAGAGAGAGAGCGAGAATATTAATTAGCCATGTGAACACTGCTGGTATGGAAACATGTATGTATGTGCACGAACACCTATTGATATATTTTTTATTTTTCAACATATATTTATTGCATGCCTACTAAGTGTCAGCCCCTGTACTATGTATTAAAAATGTATGTTTAATGAGGCAGAAGAGATCCTAGCTCTCAGATGACTGGCATTCAAGTGAGGGATTCAGAGAATAAACATGAAATCAAATAAGCTTATTTCAAGATAGCGCTAAATGTTAAGAAACAAAAACAAAAACAAAACACCCAGAAACTAAAAAAGCTGTCATGAGGTAGAGGGTAACTAGAAAGAAGGGGCTCCTTTAGGTATGAGGGTGATGTTGGAGCTGAGAAGATCAGGAGACTGACATTTCATTGAGGGCTTCCTACGTGCGGGGCGTGTGCTAAGTTCTTTGCATCCATTATTTCATTTAATCCTCACATCTACACTGTGAAGGAGAGAGTATTTATAACAATTTCACAAATGACAAGGCTCAAAAAGGCAAGTTGACTTGTCTACAGTCACAGAGCTGGTAAGAGACAGAAGCAAGGTTGAAATACCCTGCCTTGCCTGATCCCACGCCTCAGAGATGAACCAGGTGCCATGTTGCCTCAAGGCGAAGGGAAGCTCCCAGTTCATGATTATGCAAATTAAGGAAGAAGACTTTTCCAGTAAGGTCTCTGTTTTTTGATTTGCAAATGACTTTTATTTTTATGCCATATTCTGGTTATTTTCTACCTGGTCACCTGGCTTCATTCCTGAGACTTGTTGTCAGTAACCCAGATGGTGGATTTCATCTTGAGTCTGATTCATAGATGACTCTGAAGAAAATGTACGTCTTTCCCATATGGAAAAAAAAAAAAAAAAAAAACAACAACTGAGTCATCTTCCTAAATAAAATTTTAAAAAATAATAAAAATAAATTAAAAAAAAAAAAGCTATTTCTACCAGGAGATGACACCTCTACCTTCGGAGATGTGGAAAAATCTCGTCTTGACAGTTCTTGTCATGCAGGCCAGGGACAGACTAAGTCAAATCTGAGCCTGAAGCACACATAACCAAAGGTCCTCTATAACACAGACCCCCTCCCAGCAGTAGGAAGGACTTCTTGGGGAACTTGGGAAAAGAGCAAGCAGGCCCTTAAATGCATCCTGACTGAAATCAGAGTTCGCGCCTAGAAGAGTTTTAGGGGATCCTCACAGCCAGGTGCAAGACTGCTCCACAGGAGGAAAGCGAGGGCCTAGGTTGGCGGGAAAATAACCTCCCAAGATAACAGCAGCTGGTCTCAGTATGGAAAAGGGGGTGACAATGGGGTGATGGTCTCCCTGTCAGTGCAGGGGGCGTAGTGGGTGGGCTGAAGGACAGGTCCAAAAAAGGAAAGCCCTGAAGGGTCTCTGGAGTGAACACGCTCACGGTCCATCCTCCCCCTCGCCCCGACCTCCCGCCCCCTCCCCCAACCCACAGAGCTGGCTCGGCCAATCGTCAGGGTTGGCGGGAACCTCGGAAATCTTGCGGCTAAGTCCGCAGACTAGCAAACTGCAGCCGAGAAAGGAGAAGGTACTATATCGTTGACCTCAGACAGCTCCCCGTGGCCGCTGTGGCCTCGAGCGTCCCGGTGGACATCATCCGCCCCCGCCCCGCTCTCCAGCGGCCGTACGTCCCGGCCTGCTCTAGGAGCGCGGAGCGGCGGATACGCCGCGGGCGAACGTGGCGTCGGCGTCGCGGCAGCCCGGGCAGGCGGCAGCTCTGCCCCGAGTGGGACCCGCCCCGCGTCCCGAAGCCGGTTCCTCATTGGCCAGTCCTGGAAACTCCGCCCCCGGCCCGCGCGCGGCGGGTCCCCGCGGCCGGGAGCCGGTTTCCCACTGGTCGGGCGAGAGGCCCCGCCCCCGCAGCGGACGCCCAGAGTGGGCGGGGCCGGCGGCCAAGGGCGTCTGGCGTCGGGGCTGCTCTCGCACGCCGCCGCAGCCCGGGAGCCCAGGCCTGTGCGGGGCTGCGGGCCCGCCTGCTGGACGGGCTCCCCGAGAGGGCTGACTCCCGGAGAGCAGGAAGGTCATGAGCACACACTCCTTCAGTTCAACATATTTATTGAGCACCGATGAAGGCAGAGGACCGCCACCGTCACAGTGCTTAAGAGCCTTTAGCACCAGGACCCCACCTTCCTTGTTTACAAATGAGGAAGCCAAGACGCAGAGCTAGGAGCGAGTCGAGCTAGGAGCGAGTCGAAGGCCAAACCAGGTTCTAGCCTCCAGGGTTCTGGAGCACCGCTCTGCTCCGGCACCACGATGCATACGTGCCGGGTAAACTCACAAGGCCTGGTAACCAGGAACCCGGCACACTGAGGGCTTTGGAAGAAATGGGACGGCCTGTGTCCAGCGATCACTCCTGGCTTGTGCCGTTGCTGGAGTACTTGCTGGAGTACCTGCGTTTACACAGGACATTAAGCATTAGAAAGGTCTGGGAACTTTGAGCCTTGAGGCATCCCCAGGAAACACCTGAGACTAGCTCTTAAAGCGAAGGGGTAAGCTCAGAGCAGCTCCATTTGCACCATATCCTGTCTGAACACTTGCTGACAGCCCAGCCCCGACTGGTGGGGCCCCTGGTGACGGTTGGGGATACCAGAGCAGACAAGCAGAATGCACAGCAGGGGAGGGTGGCAGCTCTTCTTCCCAAGCCCAGGGGAACTTGGCTGGACTCTCACCGACTTGCATACTCACTCTTGCCCCAGAGATGATGGTAACGTTCCCATCTGCCCCCAACTCTGTTTATGACTTTGGGAGAGGGGTGAGGGTCAGAGGGGCAACAAGAAGTGGCACAGCCAGGGACCCAGGCACCTGGAAGCAGGTCTGAATGCTTGCCACTTCACATAGTGCCAAGGCAAATAAGACAATCAAAATAGCCGAGGACCCAGTACTCCAGTTTTAAATCACCCAAACCAAGGGTTGGTCTCTAGGCAGCACCCGAAGTGGTGTGATTTAAGAGGCACAAGATGCTAGCTGCCATCAAGACTTCTCCAGGGGGCCTGATGCTATTGCCCGAACTTCTACGGTTTGAACCTCACTGCTTTGGTAAGAATTTGTTCCACTGAAGTACAAAGGGCTCCCTGGGGATATAGCCCAAGGGGAAAGTCTCTCCTCACTCTGCACCCAAGGGACCTTCCACTCACTCTAGAAAAGAAAGGTCCTTCCTGAGGGATTCTGACTGGGGCAAAGGGCTGGAGATGAACATGGGAGAGAAAGGGGGGGGGCCTGAACTAGAAAAGAAGGACAAAAACCAGGCTTCCTATTTGGCCCACTGCCTCTAAATCTTTTATGACCCTGAAAACCCTAAGGTGAGGTAGGATGCACTGGGGTCATTACTCCCTTTGACAGGTGAGGAACATGAGGCTGGAGGTGGTTAAAAAAATCCTGGCCTAACTCTGCTACCAGCCCCAAATTCTTGAAAACCAACTGCTCCTTTAACGACAACTCAGGCCTGGTAGCTCAGGAATCCAGCTTGGCTGAACAGCCTCACCCACATCGGGATCTTCCTCTCTGCGAGGAGCTTCCTGGGCTGGGTCTGCGTCTTCCCCCATCCCTAAGGAGTTGTGCGGGGTCCGGTCCATGCAGCGTGCATACCCATAATACTGAGACCTTGGGGGAAGGGTCAGCCACCCCAGGCCTCGGTTTCCCCCTCTCAACTAATAACCAAAATCAATCACGGATGATGGCATATTGGGAATCATTCTGGGCCAAAGAACGCATACCCAGGAAGGCACCTGATGTCCAGGGCAGCAGCCAAGCATCCTCCCACACCCGGGCTGATCTGGACAGCCCCTCTACCATCCCCACAAACAAGGAGGTGGCAGAATAATTCCTGACCCTCAGGGCTCCTGGTCCCCTTTGCAACCACACTTAACACTTACAAAAGCACTAGAAAGACTCCGTATGGAGGGAAAAAAAAGTTTCAAAATAACACAGTAGGAAACTCAAATTTCCAGTGCCTACTCTTCAGACTGTCCACTCTGCTGTGACCTGCGTGGGCAGTATCAAAACTGCAGGCCCTCCGTGTCTCTATCGCCCCCTACTGCAAGGGCCTCTATCTCCAGTCCTCTTGCCCTCACCGAAAGTTGGCATCCTCTAAGCCTTAAGGGATCCTTCCTAAGTCAGGAATGTAGAAGAGGCGGCAAAGAGTGACAAACTTAGGAAAGAGGAAACTGAGGCATCTGGTCACACACACAGTCACCAAAACGGCCGCTGCTTCCCATCTGAATGAAGAAAAGTTCTCTCCAAAGCTATCCCGGAACGGGGAACCGGCGTCAGGCACAAGGGGAAAGGCCTGAAGGTGCACAGCAGTCCTGCGGGGGGTGCCCGGGAGAGCCGGAGGGTACCCCTGCACGCTCCTGCCGGCTCAGCCCTCCTGGCTGTGGCTGGGCCGGGGCAGCGGGGGGCTCCCAGGGAGGGCGGAGGAAGCAGGGAAGTGCGGGCCGGCCTGGCCTCGGGCGTGAGTCTGCATGTGCACGGCCAGGTGGTGGTTCCGGTTGAAGGCGCGGCCACACTGGGGACACTGGTAGGGCCGCTCGCCAGTGTGGATGCGCTGGTGCCGGAAGAGGTCGGAGGGCCGGCGGAAGGCCTTGCCGCAGTAGGGACAGGCCGGCCAGCCCTGGCTGGTGCCCGTGTGCAGGCGCTGGTGCAGCAGCAGGCTCTTCCGCTGCTGGAAGAAGCGCAGACACTCGCTGCAGTGGTACACCTTGCTGGTCGCCGGCCGCCGCCCCAGGCACGGACGGCCTGCCAGGGAGCGGTGGCCTCCGGGCTCCTCGGGGAGCCAGCGGATGACGGGGCCCGGCACCACCACCTCCCCCGGCTCCAGAGCGGCGTGGGCCTCCCCCCAGCCCGGGGCTGGGCTCCCCGGAGTCTCCCTGTGCTCCTCCTCCACGTGGGTCCGCTGGTGAATGGTCAGGTTAATCTTCAAGCGGAAACTCTGCCCGCAGTCAGGGCAGGGGAAGGTCCGCTCTCGCCGGCGAGGAAGGATGCGGGGCGGCTCCCCCACGGCCCCTGGCGGCCGCGGGTCCCCCGCCCGCACCCGTGGCACTCCTGCGGCATGAAGCCGGCCAGGGCCCGCGGTCCTGCTCCTGGGCCCCTTGGGCATTCTACACACGGGCTGGCTACGGGACTCCCCCAGGAAGAGCTGCTCAGGCATCATCTCGTCCTCAGATTGGGCTTCTGTCTTGATGACCACACCACCACCACCTGGAGAAAGGAATCTCCATTGATTTCGAGTGGGCCACACTAGCCCCCCACCCAGGCCACTCCCCCCAGCCCTGGCCTCCAGCACATCCCGAGCCACATCTGCACCCACCCTGCTCCTGCTTTCGCAGAGCCCTTTCTCCTGCAAGTGCTCAGAGCACACATCAGGGACCCCGTTCACTTGGCCCTACCGAGCAGGCACGGCCTCCCAACATCATCCAGTCTGTTTATTGTCACGTGGCCCAGATGTTCCAGTGGCCCATTCCTGGAGGCCAAGCTTGGAGACAGGAGACAAAGCCGCAAAACCAGGATCCAGGGACCCGGGGGGGTCAGAGGCCAGATGTGAAAGACAACAGGTGGAGGATGCAGTGGAGACCCTGGACCCTGAGATACACTGGCCGCACAGGATCCCCAAGAATTCTGATAACATTAGTTCCCATCAATGAATGACAGTGAGCCCTGGGGCCACTGGACTAGGTAAGAAGCCTCAGGCCTGGAGGTGGCGGGTGACTTAGCCATACTCTGAGCTACTCATCCACATAACAAATCAACACTGAGCATCCACTACCTGTCTGGCACCTGCTCTCAAGGGACAGGCAGGAGGCACGAGGACCGAGGCTCCCTGGCTGGACCTCAGTGTGAGTCACACTTGACTCTGAGGTGGGACTTAGGCATAGGAACTGCCAGGACATTGGAGAGAGGGGGGCTCTGAGGCAACACAGGGGTCCCTGATGCTGGGAAGGAAGGTCCTGGCCACAGGCCCGACCTGGAACACTGTGCATTCTTCGATATCCTTCAACTGCTATTCCCCTCTGGGCTTTTCTGGAATCAGCCCTGACTACTGGCTTCTCTGACCTCCCCCAGTGCCCAGCAGCTCAGCTGCTGCAGCCCAAGGTCTGCTCAAAGGCTGACCACGAACCTTACCCTCTATTAAAACGAAATCTTTAGCCCCTTACCAGCAATTTCTATTCTTGCTGAAGCATGAACTTAAATCCTACCCCAGGAGACTGCTGCCAACTGCTGAACCTTCTGGACCAGCACCTGATGTCAAGACCTTGGGGTTCTTACTCAGTGCAGCTTACCGGCAACCCTCACAATAACTCCAGACAGAACTTTTATTTCTATGTTGGAAATGACCCAACGGTTTGTAATTTAGTCCTCCAGCTACAGAATCAGTAAGGAGTCTATAAGAATCATCTAAATTTTGCATCTAAACCGTTGCATTCAATGGGCTACCATGGTATTCCTAAACTTAGGGATTAGTGTGGGTCTCAGGCCCTATTCCATGTGAAGGCCAAGGTTCCCAGACCTCTTCATTTGAAGCCCATCTCCAGCTTGGACTCCCACCATGCCACTACCCCAAGGTGGGCCCAGATCTCACCTCTGCGTCCCACCAAAGCCGGTACCAGGATGGAACCAGGTGAGAACTGGATCCCTTTCTATTAGGACAGAAAACCACCCCAAAGCCAGGATGGGCGATAATTGCTTTCTTTTTTCCTGCTCATCAGGGTGTAAGCTGAGTTTTGTGGCCTCTAGGCAGGGGATCTAAATTTAAACCGTAGGCCACCATGTACAAACTGCAAGACACTGGAGGTTGTGCGCCTGAGTCACTTCACAGGGTTGCGTGAGGCCTGTCACCAGACCGCAGACCTGGTGCGTACAGCTTGTGTTCAAGCAGCGCGTTCCCACCAGGCCAGACGTGATGGGGGAAAACCGGGACCTAGATGGTCTGGATCGCCAAGAGCCCCAGGGCAACAGTACCTGGGGATGAGGAAGGAACCCCTCTGGAAGAAGCCCCTCACCTGGGCCCACTGCGCCAACTCCCAGCCCACTCCCAAGGGCCCCCTCCCATCACTTACCTGGCCCCATGCCAGGCAGGCTGTCCCCAGGAGGGGAGGTTGGAGACTCCCCACCTGAAGATTCTTCCTCCCGTTTAACCGAGGCTGGAGGCCCTGTGAGAGAGACACTGTGAGGGCCTTTCCCGACACCAGGCTCGTGCAGGACGGCACGAGCATCTCTGAGCAGACCCCGGACATGCTCGAATGCCAACCAGGAAGAGGGGGCCCCAGGGCTCTGTCCGGAGGACTGCCCACTCCATGGCCTCCGCTTCAGAGGTAAGAGGAGAGCGGTGAAGGCCACGCCCCCAGTTCCCATCTGGGCCAGTGCTGACAGCTCTGTCACCCTGATGGACCTCCGAAGGACAGAGGGTTTGGGGAGGCCCCTGGGGCACAGTGCCAGGTCTGCAGGGGAGCAGGGACAATGAGAAGGTCCTCTCTCCTTACACACTGGCTGGGCAGCAGGGACACCGGGGAGGGAGGGAGGATCACCTCCACCCCCAGGGAGCTCATATTCATTGGGGGAGAGTCACAGAAATTACTGGAGAGAAAGCAACCCAGACTGAAAAGTCAAGCCCGTGGGAAGGAGGGGGAAGGAGGAGGCATGGGAACAGGAGAAGCCAAGCTAGCAAGGTGCAGTCTGGAGACACCACCACTCTGGATTATATGCCACGTGTTATGCCAAATGCCCTCTGAGTTATACTTCATTTTTGTAAAAGGATGGACAGGAACTTCCTTTACACACACGCAGACAGTTATCACTGGAAGGGGGACTGAAGCCACAGAGCCCCTCACGGGCCTCTAGAGAGAGGACATTTACTGAAGAAGGCACATGCCAGCACCGTGCTATAGGCATATAACAGACTGTCCGGTTAACGTGACCGTGGTCGGAAGCCTGAGGAGGCCCAGGACCTACCTCTGTGTGTCCCTCCCCTCACTCCAGCCAGGCCAGAGGGCCTGGCCCCCACCAGGCCTCAGGGACCCACACTTTGGCTCAGACCATTTTCTCCTGTGGAAAATGCCCTTCGTTCCCAGCCCAAATCTACCCTTCCTCTAAGGCCTGTCTCAGGGGTCCCCTTCCCAGGAAGCCCGTCCAGCTCAGCCAAGCCTGGTGCCCACCATCTGTCCCACCCTCACGCTTTAGCACTCGTTCTCAGTAGCACCTGTCTGGTCCTTGCTGAGATGCTGTTCACACGGCTACCCGGTGGCCCTCACTCACCCGTGGTTGCTCCGGGTACAGTTGCTCTTGCCTCTGAGTCTTGCTGGTGCTTGGGGACCTGCCCTTCTTTTGGCTCCTCCCGGGCAGGGCTGACGGGGCTGAGGATGTGCTCTGGGTGTGGAGGGAGGCCTGGAAAATGCAACTCAGTGACACCAAGGACAACACAGAGATCCCCCCCCCCCCCCCGGGGGGCAGGAGCCTCTGAGGGAGGGCTGACTGTAGTCACTGGGACTGACGGTGGGGGCATCAGGCCAAACACAGGCTAGTGGACTTCACCGATCCTTAGAGGCTAAAAAAGAAGGAAAAGGTACAGCACAGGAACATCTGATCGTACCAGACAAGTCATGACACAGCGGCCAAGGATGTGGTTTGTTAGGGCCTCCCAGCTCAGAACACCACAACAGTGCCTTCCAGTCCCGAGTCCTATACCAGGCTGATGTATAAGGATCCCCTTGGAAGCACCCCAAGATTCTCATTAGTAGTTCTGGGTAGGCCTAGGAAGTATGCATTTTTTGAAAAAGATTTTATTGTATTTATTTATTTTTAGAGATTTATTAATTTGAGACAGAGCGTGCGCACGCGTGCACACACAAGCAAGAGGAAGGGCAGAGAAGGAGAAGCACACTCTCCACAGAGCAGGGAGCCTGACATGGGGCTTGATCCCAGGGCTCCGGGATCATGACCTGAGCCAAAGGCAGATGCTTAACCGACTGAGCCACCCAGGAGCCCCTGTTTTTTTTTTAAAGATTTAATTTATTTGAGAGAGAGAGTGTGCAAGTGCAAGCATGAGTCGGAGGATAGAGGGACAGAGGGAGAGAGGGAGAGAGAAGCAGACTCCCTGCTGAGCATGGAGCCTGACACAGGGCTCAATCCCAGGACCCTGAGATCATGACCTGAGTCAAAGTCAGACACTTAACCGACTGAGGCACCTGGGTACCCATTAGTGTACATTTTAAAAAAGCTCCCTAGGGCAAAAGAGATGAACAAAGAGTTCACAGAGTAAGAAATTTAAATGGCCCATAAACAAATAAAAAGATACTCAACCACACTCATGTAAGAGAGGTACCATTAAAAATATACTGTTGGGGTACATGGGTGGCTCAGTCTGTTGGGAGTCTGCCTTTGGCTCAGGTCATGATCCCAGAGTCCCAGGATCGAGTCCCAGAGTCCCAGGATCGACTCCCACGTCAGGCTTCCCACTCAGCAGGGAGTCTGCTTCTCCCTCTGACCCTCCTCCCTCTCCTCCCCCCTCTCTCTCTAATAAAAAAAAAGAAGAAAAAAACCCTGTTCCCGGGGTACCTGAGTGGCTCAGTCATTTATGCCTCTGCCTTCGGCTCAGGTCATGATCCCAGGGATTGAGCCCCACATTGGGCTCCTTGCTCAGTGGGGAGTCTGCTCCTCCCTATCCCTCTGCCACCCCACCCCCTCATGCTCTCTCTCTCTAATAGATAAATGAAATCTTTTTTTTTTTTAAAGATTTTATTTATTTATTTGACAGAGAGAGACACAGTGAGAGCAGGATCACAAGCAGGGGGAGAG